TGAGGCACCAAGCCATGCTATTTTTAAAAGCTCAAGGGACCCATCCTACCAGCGGGGTGGTTATTCAGGAGCTGCTATCCAAACCCACCTGAAAACCACAGCAAATGTTGTTTCCTCAGCCAGCCACAGCCTTCCTCCCAGGTCCTGACCTACCCCATCACCGAGTGTTACTGTGTGCTGTTGCCTTCCACACCAGAACTGGCTGCATTTCAGTGGCATAATTAAGTGTGGACAAGAGCTCCAGACACCAACTTAGAGGTGGCATCAAAATGGCAGTCCTGGGAGAGCTCCACTGAGAATTTTTTGGCCAAACACGTTTTCATTAGAAAGCAACAATGCCCCAAACCCTAAATATTGTAGGAACAGCCCAGTTTGGGGAAAAACTTGACTTGGGAAAAGCTCCCCAGGTCCGAGGCTGGAATTTCTGTTCAAGACAGAGACTCCCTCCCCCCTGGCACACACCCAGAGGCGCAGTCCCAGGATCCAGTTGCTCACCTGGATGTGGGAGATGGACAGGAATCCTGGCCCACTCTGCTCTCCACCCCCAGCCCTACAAGACTCTGTGAAAGGTCTCGGGCTTGTCCTGGTGCAAACTCAGAAAAATGGGGAAAGCTCAGAAGTTTTCCTGGGACTGGCAAACCACTCCCCAAGCAGTTCCAGGCCAGTCCTGTCCTCTGAGACCCCAAGTCACTGCATGGAGCCACTGCCTGCTGGTCCATATCTGTTCTTGACCCTGAGCCACCCCCTCCACCAGGACCCATGTGCTGCGCACAGAATCCCCAGCCATATCCCCAGAGCCACCTGCAGTGCAGTCTCCCAAGGACACTCACCAGCAAAGTCATGCACTAGGTCCTTGATGAGGTGGCCCACAATGGCGTATGCGACAACCACCACGATCGCCGCGGCCATCAGCAGGTACACAACGTAGCGGGGCAGGCGGATGGTGTCCAGGGCAGGGGGCCGGTATTCCACGTACAGCACCCCATCCTCCTCCTCCTCTTGGGCATACTGCAGCAGGCGTCGTGAGCCCAGCACACCATCGGCTGTGCTATTGCTGGGGTGCAGGCTCCTGCTGCCAGTCACAAAGGCATCTACCAGCAGGGCAGAATGAGCCATTCCTGACCCCTGCCTGGCTTGGTTTGGCTTCTTCTTCTCGTCTTCGCAGCCGTCTGAGATGGCCCCCACTTTTTGCTGTTGCCAACAGCACCAATAGGCCTCTACACCCTAGGCCCTGCTGGCTGGAGGAACAGCCAAGCCCAGCCCACTAGCCAGCCAGCAGCTCCACACACGGTCCCAGCAGGTGAGTCCAGGAGACCTGGCCAGGGTGAGAACAAACGTCCCCACAGCTGGGCAGATGTGGGGAGGGGGGGGGTTGAGTAGCACAGTGGTAGTGGCAGATTGAGGGGGACAGTGCCCTGCTAGTTCAGTGGCGACTCCTCAGGCTGTCCGGTGCATGGGGGTCCCCCTCTGCCTGCCCCCAGCACCCCAGCGTCAGCTCAGCACACCCCACGCAGACAGGAGCAAAGCTGGAGCCAGGCAAAGTTCCCTTGGTGATTGAAGTCTGCCGTGCCGCGCACAGCAAGGAGAGAAATTCATCTGGATGCCGGCAGCTCACTCAGGGGCTCCTCCAAGTGTTCCTCCACACACAGGCACGCAGGAGAGGGGTGGCCTCCAGCCATACGCCAGGGCAGGCCAAAGGCTGAGCAAGGGGGCAGCCTGTGCCCCTGCCCAGACTGCACCAGGAGGGAGCAGGGTGCTGCCCTCCAGCCACCCTCCAGCAGGCAGCACTTAGCAATAAAAAGACAATAATGCAGCTGCCAGGATGAGATTAACCCAAGCTAATCCACCACTGGATCCCAGCCAGCCCGTGGGGGGAGTTGGCCGCCCCCGGGGCCTTCACACTTTGCCTCTGCTGCAATGAGAGAGGAAGGGCAGGATCAAGCCAGGATCCCAACCTGTCTCGAGCACAACTGAATCCTGGGGTGCCAGCTCCCTTGCAGATTGGTGCCCACAGGAGTAGCCCACCAGGGCACAGAGCAGCAGGCACTGCTAAGCTCTCTGATAGCAGGTACGTCTGCCCAGCTCCCTCCACCCAAGCTGCAGAGACCCGGCAGGGGACCCATTGTGCTGTTACTTTGTGGGCATACCTGGCTCACTGCAACAAACCCCTGGGCACTGGAGAAAATCCCAAGTTTGGGAATTGGGGTGGGGCAAGAAAAGGAAGCTTTCCCTGACTGCTTCCCCAAGCTAGTCTAAATCTGTCACTGGGGCCCTGAATCTCTGGAGCAGATGGTGTGAAATCCACCCAGGGACGCACTCGGACCCAAGGCAAGAGGATTGCCATCTATTTTTGACACAGGGTGAGGGCAGGGGTGGGGGCAGGGGTGGGGGACAGGACAAGGGACTCCACGAGGGCAGGGCAGGGCAGCTCTGGGACAGTCACACCTGCAAGGAACAAAGGCTTGTGCACACAGAAGAGCAGAGTGCAGGGTCAGAGCTGAGCTGGCTTCTTGCTGGTGCCAAGGAGCGAACTTCCCTGTTGGTGTGGGAGAGACACCCTCTGTTCTTCCTGCCATCCCTACTGCCCCCATTTCCCTGCTCCTAGATTGAAACAGAGTATTAAATAAGCAAAGAAAAAGGGAAAAAAAGCCAAGATGGTCCTGACTGGGGAGGGGAGATGTGATCTGCAGTCTTCTGGCAAGTGCGCAGTCATCTCATTCGACTGTAGATCTCATGTGAATTATGCAGCTGAAATTGGCTGGAGCAGGGGCTTTGCTCGCCACCCTCCGTGTGAGAAGAACAAGTGGGGGTGGATTTCATGAAGCTCTCTCCTGTCTGGCCCTGGCTGCCCCTCTGGGGCTGACACAACCCGTTTACCAGCACACGGCAACGCCGCCCAGCCAACATTCCCAGGGGAGTCCAGGCTGCTATGAATCGCCCAAACTGGAGAAGACAGCCAGCCAGGGGTGTAAGCCTTACAGCTCACCTGAAATGACACTAGCTCTAGGTGTTTGCAAAGCAGCATTTGCCAAGAGCCAGTGTGTAGGCTGTCAGCTAAGCCCTAAGCACAGCAGGGACTTTGCAGCTCAGGGGTTGCACCAGCTTCTCTTCTAGTGCTTCATACCTCCACATTTGGACTTCATGCCACAGTGGAAGTCAAGGGGTGCAGGATTTCTGAGTTCTGGTCTAAGCTGTGCTCCTGTCTGGCTGTGTGAACGAGAGTGAATCACTTCCCCAGCTGTAAGGATTTTGAGAACAGGGGAGCCCCAAGCTAAGTCTTAGGGTCGCTCATGTGCCAGACAACTGCCCTAAGCCCCAGCGCTAGAGCGTTAGGCTCTGCCAGGCAGCCCTTCCCTCAGAGAGCACGCTGCAGATTGCACCAGACTTGGTTCCCATTTCATTCCATCAGGTAACAAAAAAGCAAATTTTGAAATCCCGACAGGGTCTGTGAATGAGGACTGCTGCAGCCAACTCCCCTGCCCCCCCAGCACAGAACATGGGAGGCAGCAAGGCCCAGGACCAGCTTTGCACATCTGAGTTGTCTTGGCCCTGCGGCTTGTCACAGAGCTCCTGCATGCCACCCACCTGCATGCCAGCCCCCAAAGGATGACAGGCACTGGAGACTTGCACCTCCCTCCCCTGCAAGGGGTGGGACACCAGAGCTGGGCACAGAACATAGTGGCTGCTCCCAGGAGAGTGGCTGGAGAAGTATCAGCAGGTTTATGTGCTAAGCGGATTGAGGATGAAGGGAGAATGAATCATAAATGGCTTTTGCCAAGTGAAAAGCATCTGTGAATAAAACAAACACAGCTGCTGCCTTGTGCCCCCTACCCCCGAGCTGAGAGCTGCAGTGCCAGGGCCTAGCACTGGGGTAGCCCAGACAGACAAGCCCAGGAAGCCCATCCTGAGGTGTCCTGCCTTAGGCAACGTTGCAGCTGACTCCAAGCACACGCTGGTCAGTGCTGACCAGTGGGTCAGCCCTCCTTCCTGGCAGCCACCACCTCTGGCACCTGAAATTGGGGCTACCCCATAGGATGACACAAGTGTTTGAGGGCAGTTTGAGGGGGGAGGCAGGTTTGTCATGGGATTCAGCTAGTTCTGTACACTGGATTAAACCACCTGCTTGGAGCCCTGGTCCCAGCTGCCCTGCACTTGGAGATGGCACTTTGTAGCCTCCACTGCTGACTCTAGCTCCACATGGGCCTTTACTCCGGATTTCATCACAGCCCTGGCTCCTTCCATCATGCCTGCACTGCCCTGTGTCCCCCCACAGCCCTGGGCCAAGGTCCTCCACCCAAACACATTTAAGTGCCAAGCACCCCTGAGCTAACATACCACTTGGCCCGTAGCCCCTGCTCTCTGTTCATGCACTAGGACCCCCTCCCCTGACCTCAGACGAGTCACATAGGAAACTGAGGCAGTGTTTCTCAGCAGCTGTCTGTGCAGCAGCCAGTGTCATAGGGCCCCACTCAGGGAGGGAAGCTGGAGCACCACAGCACACTCAGGGTACGAGCATGGCAGGCTGGACTGGGTGAGAATTGGGCTCCCCTCAGTCCCATGCTAAGGCAGTGGTTCTTGACCATGGGTGGCAGAGATGCTGCAACAGCAAGCATGCACACACCCAGTCCCTACTGGTCTTGGCTCCCTACGCTGCAGCACAGGAAGGAAAAAGCCCCTCAGGGCAGCAAACAGGTGGGCTAAGGGCCCTTGACAGCCCTGCAAAAACAGCCATTTCTGTTTCACTTGTGATCTGGAGCTAGTGCACATGAAAGTGGCTCAAGCACCACTGCCAGTGAAGACCATACAAGACATGGGCAGGGGCAGTGGGCTGAAAAGGCTGAACCACACCAATCCAAGAAATCTGCAAGTCCACAGTCACTGCCATTCTCCATGCTCTGCTGTGTATAGCAAGTCAGAGGGAGCCAGGAAGGAGCGTTCCACCCACCCAGGGGCAGACAACAGCCCCACACCTCGCTCAAGAGACAAAGGACAGAATCAAGTGTTATAATGCCATTTATTCCCCTGCAGCATGTTCCCACATCTCATCAAAAACAAGCTTTTGGTTTGTTCACAAGTGCCCCTAGGAATGCTATCTGCTCTACACAGCTGCTCTAAGAGCCTTAGCCAACAAAACACCTCAAGACAGCTGTCTGGCATCTCCCTCTTTGCCACACCCAACCCAAGATGACAGAGCTGTGAAGGGCACTGCCAACCCCCTGCAAATGGCAGGGTTTTGCAGACAGCAGGCAGAGATGACGACTCCTGCTCCTAGTCACCAATTCTAACATGAATCCAGAGGGCTTCACAGGGGTATAGTTAACATGAGGCAGTGGTAGCCTCCAGCCCGGGCCCAAACAGAGACTGCAGCAATTCCCTCTAATATTAATTTAAACTCAGAGGTACTGTAGCCAGGCACCCCTGGAAGGGACTGGCCTTTCCTGGGGGATATAATCCCCAGCTGCTGTTTGCAGGAGCTTGGGAACTGCAGCGACCCCCACTGCTGCCTGTGCACAGCTCCTTACAGAACGAAAAACTCAGGCCATGGTTCCAGGAAACAGGATCACTGAAGGGCAACATGAGTTCCCAAGAGGACAGAACTGAGTCTGCAAGGCACCAGGACAACTCAGGAAGAACAGGTTCATGGCATAGGAGGGATCCAGAGACACAGGCCTGCTCAGTGGCACCAAGTCTATTAGGGCAGGAGTGTCACTGGAGTAGCCACAAAGCATTCTCTACTAAGCCACTGCAGCAACTGCTATGAAAGAGAGCTAGCCTCCTGCCAGGCCCATGGCACCAAGGCACAGAGAGAAATACATTACCTCCAGAAAGGCCCATGGAGTGGGGGTGGAGGAGGGGGCAGCCTTGCAGCTGAGCTTTACCTGACACACCAAGTACATAATAGCAGCAAAGCTGGAGGCCAGAGAACAGCCAAAGAAAATGGAACTCTGTAAGGATGAATCCTTGATGGCGTAGAGTTCCAGACAACCTTGAGGCAAAGAACAGACCCCTGGAACAACTCCCGTGACACACAAGAAGCCAGCACTTTCAACGAGCAGCATCCCCTTGAAACAAGCACAGGATCGATCCATGCCCTGCCTGGAGCTCTTGCCTTGTCCGTATACTGAGCTACTACAGAGTAGTATGCTACTCTACCAGGTGCTAGTGGGCTGAAGCTCTGTCCAGAACCCTGGCACCCCAGGGCTCGGATCTGGAGCCTGGCCCATCCCTTAGACTAAAACAAGCAAGCTATAACAAGTTAGCAATAGTGGCTGAAGCCTGGAACTCCACTGCTCTGCACCATGTGCTGCCATTATTTACACAGGGCAGAGTGACCAGCTGAATCTGGCATCACACCCAGTTTTCTGTGGTGTAAATGGCTGTGCAGGGAAGGGTGAAACCAGGCCCTGGGTTTACCCATTCCAGCCACTGCCTTCTGCAGGCATGCACACCCACAGAGGCAGAAGCCCCTGCTTAGCTGGAGGCCTGAAGCTTGCTTAGCCCATCCGCATACTGGAACTCTGTGCTGTTCTCATAGTTGTACATGTCCAGAGCCACCTCACAGCTCTCCCGCACCACCTGCTCCTTGTCCTGGGAGTAAGTCTGCAGGGTCTCCAGGCAGGATGCTTGGGCGATGGAGCCCAGTGCCTCAGCACACTCATGACGCACCATGGGGTTCTCCTCTACTCTTTCCAGTGCTGCGGTCAGCTGGGGGACACAGGCTTCATGCTGCATTTGCCCTAGGACGTAGCCGATCTCATGTCGGAAGAGGGCGCTGCTGCACTTCAGGCCTGTAGAAAGCAGGAAAGGGAGAGTGAAGAACCAGAGCAAACACACCATGAAGGGCCATCAGTATTGCAAAGCATTTTGGGGTGCTGGGCCCCATCTTGCACTGCTGCAACCACTCGTGAGGAAGGCAGCCAGAAACAGCCCTTCACAAAGGGGATTCCAGAACCCAGGAACTGGCAATGGGTGGTATATGAATGAGTTCAAATCCAGCTCATGTCATTCAGAGGTGTGGTGGTCAACATGAATGAGTCAGGTGGGTCTCGGCCTCCGTCTACCTTATGGCTTCTGTTGTTGGAGTAAAAGTAGTCGAGGAGGAGGTATTGAGTTAGTTGGGAGGAGGTATTATGTCAGGGTCTCCAAGAGTCTGCCCTGGCCTGGGTCCAGTATTCATATTTTCATCAATAATTTAAAAGATTGGATTGAGGGCACACTTAGCAAAACCAAAGTTTAAGACACACTGGAGGGTAGGAACAGGATCAAGAATGACTGGAGAAATGCCCCCCACCTTCTCCCATTTAAAAGAAGAAAAAAAAGTCAAAAGAAATTCAGTAAGGACAAATGCAAACTCCTGCCCTTCAGACAGAATATCCACATGCATAAAAGCAGACTGGCAAACAACTGGCTAGACTGCAGTATTGAAGAAAGGACCTCATATTTGTTGTGGACCACAGGCCAAATGAGTCAGTGTGCTTTTGCTGAAAAAAGCCAACTACATATTGGGCTGTATTAGTAAGAATATCACTTGCAAATCCAGAGAAGTGATCCTTCCAGTCTATTTAGCACTGATGTGGCCTCACTTGGAGTACTGTGTTCAGTTTAGGGCACTGCACATCGAGGAAGATGCACACAGACTAACGAGTCCAGCAAGGGTAAAAAAACAAAACAAAACAAAAAAAAGGATTAGAGGTTTGGAAAATGTGACTTGAGGAAAGGCTAAATGAACTGCCATTATTTTGTCTGAAGAAGAGAAGACAGAGGGGATTTGATAACAGTCTTCAAACCCCTGAAGGGTGGTTCTAAAGAAGATGGAGATAGACTGTTATCTATAGGCGCATGGGACTGTACAAGGAACAACGGTCTTAAATTACAGTGAAAAAATTTAGGTTGGAGATTAGAAAGAACTTTCACCATGAGGATGGTCATACATTAGAACAGGCTACCTAGAGAGGTGTGGGGTCTCCATCCTTGGAAATGTGAAGATCAGGTTAGACAGACACTTGTCTAGGATGATTTAGAAAAGGCTGATCCCGTCATTAGGAGAGGCTTGGACTACATGACCTCCTGAGGTCCCTTCCAGTCCTACTTTTCTATGATTTTAGCAGGATCATGGGCAACTGCCTCTCTCTAGTTGTGGCTGCAGAGAGCTGCCATGGCACCAGCATGCCCTACAGCAGGGCTTAGCATCATCCAGCCCATGGAGCCAAGCAGCAAGGAGCTGCTGCCCAGCTGCCACTTCTCTGCCCCCTGGCTGTAGCTTGAGCATGGCTCCCTGCTGCCCATCCCCAGCATAGGCACAGGCAATGCTCCCATCACCAGAATACCATCAATGCCCAGCCCCCAACCTCCCCCACACCGAAAGACTGCATCAGACCAGAGTTGAGCTATTCCAGCCCATGGCTCTGAAAGATTGATGACTGTTGCCCTAGAAGGCATAAAGCTTCTTCCAAGCACAGATGGAAACACCATGAGTATCTCAGTCCACACTGCAAGGTTTGGACAAGCCTTTAGGGGTGGTAGCTAGTTCATAAGGACTCTGTCTCGTGTTTGGTGAGAAGGGACTGGGGAGAGGTACTCACAACAGTCCAGCATGGCTCAATCAGGACACTCTAGCACCACAAGGGAGCCAAGTGGGACAATATACAAGGGTTAATTATGAAACATGGGAGAAGACCTTTTTGGACCAGGGAGGGCTGTGTGCTAACGAAGCTGCTTCACTGAGCAGGGCCACCTGTCTTTACCCAAGGTGACCTCTAGTGGACAGCATTAGGAAAAGCACCAATAAAACTGTTTGCCAGGCCCATGCCTGAGTGAGGGATCCCAGGGATAGCCAGAGCTGAGGCAGACAGGTAGATCCCTGAACTCACTCCTATGAAGATCCTGCAAAAGGGACGAGAAACCAGAGTACTTAAGCAATCAGGGGTCTCTCACCATCTGCCAGTGCCAGCACAGCAGCCTCGCCCCCCATGTTCCTCAGGGCAAACATGGCCCGATAGCGATCGAACAGTGGGCACGACTCATCCAGGAGGGTGTTTCGCAGCTTGGCAATGTCCTCCTCCTCAGCAGGGGGAGCAGGGTCCACAGACAGGTAGGGATTGGTGCCTGGCACTTCCTTGTTCTTCTGCAGCCATTCAAGCCTCTTAACTGCAAGCTGGCACGTCTCTGCTACCTGTAAAACAGAAGACAAGCTTGGCTGGGATCCCTCAGGGTGAGAGAGAATAGACCTGGAGATCAGGGGTGCCCAGACCACAGGACTGGCAGTCACAGCTCCTGGCTCCTTTCCCAGTTCTGCAACTGCAGATGGGTCACCTCCCTGCTCTGTAAGCCCAGTCTCCTGCCTCTGCACAGTATAACTCAAGTTACCAGCCCACCAAGAATGAGGTACACATGGCATTTAAATGGCATTTAATCCAAGGGCAGGGGATAGTTCTCCACCATGTTCCTAACAAAACAGGACCTAAACCTTGACATGGGAGCTACCAGGCTATAAACCCCTCCTCCTCCAGGCTAGGACAGCGTAGTTCCTGAGAAAGAATTTACTTCCTAGACACATGCTTCCTGGACATGTACACAAACATGGTGTCAAGAAGAGGCCAAGGACTGGGGCTACAGAAATCAAGTTCTGCTATTCCTCATTGACATGGCCCCTCTAAGGCAACAAGTAGAGGAAACAAACCTGACTTCATCTCTTCTGTAGCTACTGAGAGGCCTTCAAGTCTAAACTGTTATCCACAAGAGAAAGACCAAGTGAAGAAAATGTGTCTGCCTATGAGCACAATATCCCCAACTTTGCAGGGCTAGCACCTCCCCACCCCAAGCACTGCAGCAGCAGCACCTGAAGAACCCTGAGAACAGAGCTCCGTGGTGGTGGACACTGAACAAAAACACAGGAAGGGAACCTGCCACAAAGGTCTTAGCATCCAAACTGAAGCAAGACAGCAGGGAAAATCTAAGACAATGATACGCAGGTCACTCAGTAGACTGCTTGCAGAGCTGTGGCTAGAACCTAGGCCTCCTAAATCCCAGCCTTTCCCATTGCAGCAGCAGTATTAGTGGTGTTTATACCTCCCAAGGGAGGTGTAAGCTCAAGAGAAGCTTTACCTCGACAACTGGGTCTTCAGAATAATGTTTCAGAACATCCAGCACATCGGGATTTCCAATAGCTCCCAAGGCTTCACCTTAAAGAAAGGGCAGAGGAGGTTACCAGCTGGTACAGACACCTGCAGATGCACAAGAATTTCATGGCTTTACACTACTGTTGTCACCTTTTATACAACCCAGCACTTCTTTTGTGCAGATCTGACTGCAATGCTCATGAAAAGCAGCTCCCAAGCTAATGACAAGTGACAGTTTGAGTCCAACTCATAGTAAAGATCTGGTTAAAAGGGTTGTGGGGTAAACATATATACCCCAATCTCCAGATCAGGGGTCAGCAACATTTTTGGGCAAAGTGCCAAAAATACCCCTACCTCAACCTACGCCAGGGACAGCAGGGGAGCTGAAAGGGGCACACTCCTCATTGCTGGCAACAGGTGCACACATGCTTCTGGGTTGCGCTGCCTCAGCAGCTTTCCTGCCCTACACCCTGAGGCGCACATGCAACCACTGCCAGCCATGGAGCTTGACTGCTCGCAGCAAGCAAACTGCAGAAAGTTACACCAAGGTCTGAAGCCCCAGCCTGGCTCCATGGCTGGTGATGGCTGCACACGTGACCAGGGGCATGCAGCAGGGAAGGGCATCACAGCCCAATCCCCTCCCTCGCTGTCTGCCCAGTGGCACGCATGCTCCTGTCACCAGCAATGAGCCAGGCAGGCCTAGGCCTGCAAACTTTGCATCCTCCTGGCTGACTGCCACAGCCGGCGCAAGCTCTGGGCAGGCCCTTGCTGCCCGCCATGGAGCCTGGGCTGCTTGCAGCAGGGAGGCTGCAAGCCACTGCCCCAAGGTTTGAGGAGTGTTGGTCCTGCTCACTGCTGGTGGTGGGTGCATGCACACTTCCAGACAGACGGTGAGAGAGGGGCCAGGGTTGCACTGCCCCATCCCCTTCCCCACCGTGCACCCCAAGGTACGTGTACAGTCACCACTAGCCACGGAGCCAGGCCAGAGCTCCAGATCCTGCTGCACCGGTTGCAGCCCCCTGGCTGCCTGCCACAGCCAGCCCAGGCTCTGGGCAGCTGCTGCCTGCCAGGGAGCCGAGGGTGCTCACAGCAGGGCTTGTAGCCTCCTCACTGCCTGCTGGAAGCAGCCTGGGCTCCATGGCCAGCTGTGGCGTACCGAGCAGAACAGCATCACGTGCCATGGCATCCCAGAGCCCTTTTAACCAGATCTTTGCTCTGAGGTGCAGGGGGTTGCCAACCCCTGGTCTATGTCTTTATTTGAGAGGAGTCTGGCAAGCTTTCTCACACCACAGATTTTTTAATAGCACTGAAGACTGGATATAAGCAGGCACATCACACTACCACACGTGCCTCTCCCACGTCTCACAAGCTGCTGTACAAATCTAACTGTGCAAATGAAGGGACCCCTTTGTTTCTCATATCACCAGCCCAAGCCTCAGAAAGATCACAGAAAAGGTGCTGAAAATGAATGGGGCTTTGGTGCTGCCCCTAAAGGTGCCAGGCAGTGCAGTCAGGCAGTGAAGTAGGTGCACCAGAGTCTACACGTGCATCAATATGCTTTAGTTCATACGCATTAGATCTAGTGCCTCCATTGTGAGGACTAGGAAAATGTGCATTAGCCTGGCTTTTTCAAGTGACACTTAATGCACATTAACCTATTTTAATGTACATCAAGTGAAAAGCACAGCTTATGCAACACCTTAATGTGCATTAAAATAGGCTAATGCGCATTAAAACACTCGCTGGGTACAGGAAGAAAGCTGGCATATTATTCCCCTAACAGAAGCAGGGACCTCGCTGCTCTCCAAATTGAAATTCAATCCCTGGCCCTGTGCAGCCCCCAATTACACCTCTTCTGGGCTGAACTGAGGTGTCAATCCACCAAGGCATCTTGCCACGGACTTCACTGGCAACAGGACTGGAGCCGCATCAGCTGCACGCTCTGGTACCTGCTTCGTGCCTGACCATGGGCTCCTGGCTGGTGTCCTTCAGCACCTGGATCAGGACGGGGATGGCGTGCTCGTCCTGCATCTGTCCCAGGCAGTAGGCCAGCTCATGTTTCAGGAGAGCAGACTCGTCCCCGAAGCCCCGGCTGATCCAGTCGACGGCTGCGCGACCCCCTACGTTGCGCAGGGTGAAGAGGGCTCGGAAGCGAGCCGCCAGGGGCTGCGCGGCGTCCACCAGCGTCCTGCCAACGGCCTCCACGTCCTTCTCGGGCACCATGGCGGGGGCCAGGAGGGTCCTTGCGGCCCAACCGCTCCTGCCAGGCGCACGCTGCAGAAACCTGGGCAGGGAGAAGAGGGGACGGGCTGCTCTTCGGCTCCGCACAGCGCTGGGGGGGCAGCACCGGGGATTGAACAGCAGACACAGGCAGCGAGAGGCCCGAGTGACAGGGACAAGGGCGGGTTTGCGGCCCTGCGGCTGCCGGGTCCCCCCGACCCCACCACGCACTCACCGCGCGCCACGCACCGCCCCAGGCCACCCCTCCCGCCAGCCCCTGCGGTGGACCGCACCACGCGGCCCCGGGGGGGCTCCCTCGCATAGCAAGCGGCGGCACGGAGCTGTCACGTGACGCGCGCGGCGCAGATCTCCCCCCTCCTCCAAGGCGGAGTTGGTGCGTTCCATCCCTCACCTGTACCCCCTCCCCCCTGCCATAGTGAGGCCGAAGAGTGGGCATGCGCAGATGCTTTAACTCAAGTCGCCCTTCCTTTGCTCGCCTCGCTTCGCCTCTGCTCCTTGAGCAGCCCGTGGCTGATGGTGCTGCCATCTTGACTGAGGGCAGTGTCTGACTTCAAGGCCTGCTCAAAGTAGTGGGAAACAGTCACCATTTTGTCTAAGGGCAAGAAGCCACGGAGCTCCCGGGGTGCGAGAGCCGCAAGACTCGCTCATTCTTTTTTTTTTTTTCAAATAAAAGCTCCAAAAGCGGGCGATTTGCCGCGGGCGGGCGGTGGCAGCTGTGGCTTGCCAGGCACTTCCGCGGATGTGCAAACTAGGCCCTAAACTTTGATCAAACTCTCGAGAAAGATGCCCTGGCGAACTTGATTTTTTTAAAATTAAATTACAAGTTTGGGGTTTTTTTTAATCAATAGAGAGGAATAACTCGCCTCCCAGCTGCCGGGGCAGGGAGCGTGGTTTGTGTGCGCATCCCCTGCAGCACTAGCTCTTGATCCCGATCGTGGCCTTTGGGCATCGGCGTAATCAAGGCCCAATTTTGGCGATCCTGTGTGTCACACGCGCCCTCCCTCATGCCACACGCACCCTCCCCGTGCTGTGGGATCGGCGCGGCTCAGCTGCGGGAGGGGCAGGGCCGGCAGCGGTGACACTTGATCACAGAAAATGAGGGTTGAAGGGACCTCGGGAGGTCACATCTAGTCCAAGCCCCTGCTCCAAGCAGGACCGGCCCCAGCTACATCATCCCAGCCAGGGCTTTGTCTACCCCAGGATTAAAAACCTCCAGGGATGGAAATTGCACCACCTCTCTGGGTAACCTGTTCCAGTGTTTCACCAGCCTCCTAGTGAGAGAGTTTTTCCTAATATCCAACTTAAACTTCCCTTTCTGCAGCTTGAGCCCATTGCTCCTTATTCTGTCATCTGCCCCCTCTGAGACCAGTCCAGCTCCATCCTCTTTGCAACCCCCCTGCAGGTAGTTGAAGGCTGCTCTTAAATCCCCTCTGGGTCTTCTCTTCTCCAAACTAAATAAGCCCAGTTCCCTCAGCCTCTCCTCATAAATCCTGTGCCCCAGCCCCCTAACCTGCCCTCCCCTGGACTCTCTCCAACTTGTCCACATGTTTTTTGTAGTGGGGGGCCCAAAACTGGACCCAGTACTCCAGATGTGGCCTCTTCTGTGCTGAATAGAAGGGAATAATCACTCCCCTTGACCTGCTGGTAATGCTCCTACTAATGGAGCCCATTATGCTGTAAGCCTTCTTTGCGACAAGCTTGGTGTCACTGTTCGCTCTTATTCAGCTTGTTGTCCACTGTAACCCCCAGGTCTTTTTCTGTAGAGTTGCTGTTAGCCAGTCTCTAGTCTGTACCAGCGCATGGGATTGTTCCAGCCTAAGTGCAGGACTTTGCACTTCTTATTAAACTTCATGAAAACATTTTGGTTCAATCCTCCAATTTGTCTAGGTTTCTCTGAATCCAAGCCCTACCCTCCAGTGTATCTACTATTCCCCCCAGCTTGGTGTCATTCATACACTTATGGAGGGTGCACTCTACCTGATCTTCCAGATCCTACTGATGAAGCTATTGAACAAAACCAATCCCAGGACCAACCCTTGAGGCACTCTATTTGACACCAGCTACCAACTAGACAGCAAGCCACTGAATACTCTTTGAACCCAACAATCCAGCCAGATTTCTATCCATCTTACAGTCCATTCATCCAACCCAAACTTCCTTAGCTTGCTTGCAAGAATGTCGTGGGAGACCATATCAAAAGCCTTGCTAAAGTCAAGGTATATCACATCCGCTGCTCTCCTTGCAGCCACAGATCCAGTCATACCATCATAGAAAGCAATCAGGTTGGTCAGGCATGAGTTGCCCTTGGTGAATCCATGCCAACTATTTCTAAACACCTTCTTCCCCTCCAAGAGCATAGAAATAGATTCCTTGAGAACCTGCTCCATGATTTTTCTAGGGACTGATGTGAGGCTGACTGGTCTGTAGTTATCCACACTAGAATTTATCATGGACATAAAGCGCATCACTTGTCTTGCACCCATAACCCTACAAGCACTACTGGAGGCCATAGATCCTTGTTCTAAAGGCCCAAATATCCCTTTACAGCTTATATTGCAGAGCCAAAGTGCTAGATTTCCATGGAAAAGCAGGTTGTTGATCCCAGGCACAAACATGGGATATTAAAATGACTAACATATTAGTATGTCTGTAGCAATACTGAAGGTCAGAGCAGGGTGGCACATCATAATACCAGAAAGCTTGTCTAGCAAAAAGAGCAAGGGGTATCAGCACATGAGGATAAACACTGATGAAGCAGCATCTCTGAAGAGGGTCAGCCACATGGGGCCTGAGTCTTTTTGGAAGACCATTTCCCTCTTAAAGCAATCCCATAGCTCTGACCACTTGCCACTGCCTTGTCTCCTTTTTTTATTTTTGTGCTCCTGAAGGCTGCCCAGTGAGTACTGTGCAACTACCTGCCCAATACAGATATGCCACACACATGAACCAACCCGCCCCCCCGCCACACACACGCATGCACACAACTCCACTAATCCTCAGCTTTAACCAGGACTGGAAGGGCCCCTGTTACTCCAGAGAACAACTTCATAACATTCCTTTCATGAACAGATGAGCCAAGAGGAAGGAACTTTTATCTAAGACCAAGAAGTCAGTCTCCATGGCTAAGCACTGTGGAGGGGAAGCCTATCTTAGTGAATACATTGCTAAACTAGGAGTCTCCAGACCCACATTCTAATCCCTGCTTTGCTACTGACATTAAACAAGTCACTTCCTTTCTTTGTGCCTTTGTTTCCCATCCTCTCATCTTATCTAGTTAGACAGTAACCTCCGCGTGGCAGAAACCATTGCTTGGTATCTATCAGCACCTAGCAAAACAGGGCCCTGGCCTTAGGTGTGGCCTCTAGGTGCTAGTGTAATATAGATAATACCTATTTAGTCCTTTGCTCTTTCAATCTGGCATTTTTGGAGCACCCATCACCACAGCACCTCTCACCTGAGTCCCACCAATTCTTTTCATGCACTCTACCAAGCAATCACCAGACACTAACAGTTTTCATCAGGGGCCAGCCTGACACCAAGACTGGTTTCACACCAATGACCTGGAAGTGAAAAGTCTCTCTTTTCCAGTCACCTGGAAATCTGGACCCCCCCCAGTTTATCCTTCACAGAAAGCAAAAAAAAAGAGACATAATTCTTTGTCCAAACCTAGATCCGCCATTTCATTTTTATATCACAGAACATGTCTCACATTTGTCCAAATCCTGGAAGATTACAAGCATATGAAATACATCCCATTGCCTGAAATCTTTATGGCAAAAACTGTATAACCGTAACACAAGTGACTTCCTCTGGACTGCACCTGGTGATGGGGCCAGGCTATCTCAGCTCCAACCTTGCAAGCCATCCTCGTTCCTCAGAAAGGTGTTGCAGCAGACACGAGTATGACATTGCTGTTTAGCAGCCCTTGATTGCTGGGACAACGTTATGTTTATTGGAGTTACTCTAAAGTCTGAGAGCTACAGCATATGGTCACTGCCTCTGTAGCCATCAGCCTTCTCCACAGCTTTCAAAGTACTGGCACATGAGATCCCGCACTTGCTCAGCACTGCTGTCGTCCATGGATGTGGGCACAGGGTGACAAGGTTTTGGGATCTCTGCTGGCTCGATGACCTCCAGCCACTCATCGTTGAAGGGGTTGTCATGTGCCTCGCAGACGTTGTGCAGGGTGCAACAGGCAAGTATCATGGTGGGCAGCAGGTCCAGGCTACAGTCATCGCGCTTCAGGAGGAACTGCCAGCGAGCCTTGAGGCGCAGGAAGGCATTCTCAATCACGCTGTGGGCTCACTTCAGGCAGTAGTTGAACTGAAGCTGCTGCTGGGTGAGTTTCCCATCTTCCTGGTAAAGCTTGAGGATCCAGTCTTGCAAAGGGTAAGACACATCTCCCAGTAGGACATACTTTTGTGCCCTCCCCATGAAATGTTTTGGGGGGTTTGGGAACAAGTAGCCATCTCTGGCTAACACCCACAAGCTTGAACTCTCCAGCATGGCACTGTTCTCCATGCTGCCGGGGAAGCCAGCACAGACGTCCCAGAACTGGCCTAACCCATCCACCACAGCCTGTGTGAGGATGGAGTGCCAGCCCTGGCTGTTGCAGTAGTCAGCACTGAGGTGCAAAGGTGCGTTGATGGGGATGCAGAGGCTGTCCAAGGCACCAGTGCAATGTGGGAATCCCCACCTGGCCCTGAAGATGCACACCATGTTCTCCAGTTCCTTTTCACTGGGCAGGAGGAGGTAGACTGGCTTTAGCAGCAGGACAACCACGTAGCTCACCTCCTGGACACACTTTTGTACTGTGGAGGGGCCCACCCCAAAAAGAGGCCTGATAATCTGGTATTCTACATTGGTGGCCAAATGCCAAAGGGCCACAGCTACCCTCTTTTCCAGAGGCAGCACTGGGTGGAAGTGGATGCTCTGATGCACCAGCTTGGGCCGCAGCTGGTTGCACACGTAGAAGAAAGTCTCCTTAGACATCCGGAACTTCTCCAGCCAGTCGTGGGGCTGGAAGTCTTTCAGGACCACCCGTTCTCACCAGTCAGTGTTCCTAATGCTGGGCCACGCGCGGGGATGAAAGTAACAGTTGCTTCTGCGTCGTCGTGCAATCAGCAGCTGAAATTTTACATGGGAGATAATGACAGGCAAGAGGCAGTGTCTCTATCAGACATTTACTCTGGGATATAACAATCTGCAGCACTTTTATAATGCTGCATCTTCCAAGTGCTGTGCAGACAACTAAT